CAAATTTTTAACTAAGTTTTCTTAGTAATTGTATAGTTTTCCCTTGACAAGGAGAGGATCAGATTTTTTTTCAGGAGGATTACCTCTGCTCAGCTCCCTTCAAGCAGCTCTTGAATAAAATAGTTCATTAGTTCATGAAAAGGAAAAACACCAGGGAACTGCAAGGGAAGGAAGAGAAAAGAACAGAGTGCCACAGTAATTAGGTTTTCAGATTGTCCCTTATCCTCCAGAAAACAGGTACACACACACACACACACGTCCCTCTTCTCCTTAGGTAAAGCATTTAGGGGAGCTCATTGCACGTTCTTCCCTGGGAAACAGCGTTCCAGAGATTAAATCTGTAACCAGGCCATCACTTCCCAGAAAGATTGTGCAAGATGCCACTTCCTTACAGCAAATTTCTACTGCTAATCTGTAATGAAAGGGCAATTCTCTCCCCTTTGCGGTCATTTAAATACCTTTATTTCTGCCTTCCTCAAAATTCATTTTCCTGACCTCTTCAGGCTCAGGTGGCTGATGCTGGAAAACCAAAGGTTCTCCATTCACCAGGAACCATTCATGCCCACCTAGGTGTACCATCAGCCTGAAGGCAGCAGACTGTACCTACCTGTGATCAGGGACAGGACTGGCCAGGAAAGAGAATGGCAAGTGGGGAAAACTGCACAGGATTGCAATTGTTCACTGGCAGTCACTCACTGGAGGACAATCTCTTTTGATCTAGACCTAGCACAACAGAGCATCGAGCATGCCACAGCCGTATGAATTCATAAGAGGTCAGATCATCACCAGGCCTGACAGCACCATACAGCTTCTTTGTGCCTTTACACCATGTGGCTCATGGGCAGTCAGGTTCACAGCAGCACAGCCTTCACACTCTTCTCCTGTTGTTCCTTCTGTCTGCTCTGCACTTACCCCAGAAGCATTCAGATAGTCCATAGATCTTCAGGCAGATTGACTAAACCAACGACCAAGATGTCAATGAATACAGTTCTGGTGATAAGTTCTCTGTGCTTTGTCATCCTCTCACTTCAAATTATCCCGAAACCACCAAGAAATTGATGATCATCAGAAACATCATCAGGTCACTACCTTCCTGTCATGGATCTGTGTCCTTGAATTATGCATTCTCAGCAGACAGTATGACTGGAAAAATCAAAAGATACTAGAAGAATGTGTTGCAGCCTCTATGAACTCTCCTTGTTAAAAGGTGCATACTGTAAAAACTGCATTTTCCCACAGTTCTGTTGTGATTTTCCAAAAATAACACTTTTCAATATCCTTAAATTGTTACATTCCAATTGTTATTATTACTACAGATTACAAATGAAATTCTGACCTTTCATCTACTGAAGGGGCTTAGTTTCAACCCACAGTTTTAGAAAGGAGACTCAGTTTTGAGCACCATAAAAGACTCCTTCATCTAGACATCATAATCTAAACCAGACTTTTAGGCTAAAAACTCAGCTATAACATGATAGAAAAATGAGTCTTACATGAATAATGATTTGCATATCAGATTATTAAGTGAAAATATATCAAACTACCATTTATTGAAGTAAACAGTCTATCTGCCCTGTTTCTGGAAACATTTTGCCTCAGGGAAAAATTTAAACCTGGGCAGATAATCAGGATAAGGTATCTGAACACTTAAATCCTGCTGGAGTCTTCAAAGTAGGTGTTAAGTGATGCATTAAATTTGTGCTATTTCTTCTGAGCAGGGTGAATTTGCTCTTCTGTAAATAGTGGGAAAAGCATTTTACAACAATTTGAATCCATGAATAAATGTAATATATTACAATTTCTAAGGTACAACCACTAAACGGTTTTTGTACATAAGCCAAATGAGTGGAATATTCAGGACTGAAATTATTTGAATGACCACGGAAAGATAATATATAATTAAAATGACATCGGCAGCACTAACGGATGGGATGAGAGAAGGTGACATCACAGATCTCATATAAGCTGCAACTGTATTATTAGATCTAAACCTGGCTGTAAAATTACTATCTGCCCATGGGATTATCTTTAGGCATTCAGAAGCATTGTTTCATTTACTGATAGAACAGGGATGAAAACACCCTGACTTTGCTTGTCACACTATTTTTTTGGCCTTTCTTTATTCTTTTTTCATGATACCTGTAGAGGAGAGGAAGACAAGCTTCAGCTGAAACACTTTTGTGGAGCTTTTCATTGTTTTACAGTTTGTTCCAAAGGCTTTTAAAACTTTTTTCCCCCCAAAGAAAAGAACTCAAAAACATTTTTAATGGTGGTAAAATCAATGAGGAGTAAAACATGCACACAATGTAACATCTAAGAATGTGGCAACCTAAGGAACTTCCATTGGCCTACTGCAGCACACAGAGAATGTAAGACTTTGCTTATAGCTCCCATTGGGAGCTCAAGGAACCGGTAGCTACAGGTTGTATCTTTGCCTCATTAAAATTCAGTGACAAAACTCCAACTGACTTCAGTGGGTACATTTCATCATTCGAGACCTAGGACACAGGACATAATTCTCCTTCAAATGCAGGGCTATCTGGGACACCTAATCTCTACAGATTACATTTCTGCATTAAATTGGGCACAGCTGCATTTTGATCTGTTTCACATACCATTTTTATGTTCCTGGCAAATTATTAAGTTGCCTATACTTGTAACAAGACTCTTGTGCCACCAACCTAAAATAGTCAAAATTCTAAGAGTGTGTAACAAGACAGGGAGTGAAAAGGGAAAAAAAAGGAAGCTTCAAACTTTCCAGTCATTTTTGAAAGCTGTGCTAAGGATCCTGAACTGCAAAGGGGACTTAATGTGCTCTCAGAAATCTGGTCTTAAGTGTCTAACTCTCAGTGTTTGAAATAGTTCCCATATGCCAAATTTGAAAACTAGGCAAAAGTCCAGGAGCAGGCGAGACCACAGTCAGTCATGGACTTGTGCATACACTGCTAAGGCAAACATGGACTTTGCACTCTCTTCCACCTGCCCTGATACTGGGCAGCAACTGACATGTGTTATCTCTTAAAGCACCTCCCAACAAGCTCTTCCCATGTAACATTAAACCTCTGCTTCATTGCCTCCACTGAAACCTGCGAACATGCTCCACAAGCAGAGAATGCTACCTCCTGCTCATCAATACAATCTTGCTTTTCTTTGTTTTCTCCTACCCATACCCACCTCCTTTGTCTTAGCCTGCAGTTTGAGGGAGTGACCAACTCTAGTACAGTGAAGGATTTAGCTCATGATTACTGGCCTCAGTGCTACTGCTGAAAAAATACATTGCATTTTATTAATAGTAGTTAATACATAAACTACTTAATCCACATTAGATCATTTCATTGTCCCTTTTATCCTTTTATAACTGATACACAGAATAGATTTGCAGCCCCTTTTGGCATAAATCTTTGATTCAAAACTCTCCATACACACAGCCACAGCAGTATGCCATTAATAGTTCACACTGAATCTGTGCACTAGAAGTGAAGTGTCTGAAATAAGCTTAGATACACCATCCCTATTAAGAAAATATTCCTCCAGCACTCAGCCTGGCCAGGAACCATGCTTATGAATCATGAATTGTTTGTGGCTGGTCAGTGGTGCTTACAATCTTTTGGATGTAAAGAAGAATGGAGACAAAGACCTACAGGCTAGTGGGGACAGACTCACAAAGATGGGCTGGGGGAAAGACAAGAAGCATGTGGTGATAAAGAACAACAAATAAAGACTTGAGACTTCACTGCAGAAAAAGGCAAAGAAAAAAAAGCAGAATACCTAACACAGCAGAGTAGCAATATCTTTGAAAATAAATTAAGATTTTTAAATCTGTCCTGGAGGAAATGTAGGGTAAACTAAACCCCATTTTTCCTGAAAGGTGACAGCTGTGAGGTTAAGCTGTAAGAAAAAGTTGGGAGGTTCCATTCTCACCTGTTCTGTTACCCCATCAGAATTGCTCTTCATCTCAAAGTGGTAAGAAACCTCTTTTATATTTCAATATTAACAACTTCATTATGTGTATGTTGTAGTGAGTTTCATGTCAATTGATATGCTAAACCTGTCTCAATTACCTTTAAAATGGAACTTTCATTTATATTTTTTGTTTCTCACTGCACATCCATAATGAAGTGGTTAACTTATTTTAAGGGATATTATTTGCACTCTGCAGTAAAGAGTGGTCTAAAAGGACAAGTAGACCTGAAGAACTTTGTATCACAGAGCTGAAGCACATGCCTGTGTTCCAAATGCTGTGTGTATCTAAAACTTTCATAGACTTTCATAAAAACATATGTGCCTTCAGATACTTCATAAAATAAAAGTGATTAAAACAAACAAACAAAAAAAACCAAAAAAAAAACCCAAAAATACAAACACAGAGCTGCCTTATGTCCAGATGAAAAATAAATATATAGGTAACAAATTATTTGCTAATAATGCATATGCACTAGTTTATATACTTCAGGTAGAATCTACTGCCTTTCTCTTTAGCCATGTCAATATCAAGAGTCTGCTCTTAACCAGACATTCAGGTTCTTTCCATTTTCAAAAGCAGTAGGAACTGTCACAGGACTATATAAAACCTGCCTCAGCTACTAGGTAATGATTGGGTTGAAACACTCAGTGGGGGCTCCCTTTTCTCTGGTCGTTAAGGAAAAGTAGCATAGATGGAACACCTGACTTCAAGGTAAGAAAAAAAATCTACAGGGTGAATCCTTCCTTCTGGGTCTAAAATCTGGGTTGAAAAGTCATCCCAGATGTAACATTTTATGCATCCTTGTTTGAAGAGAAATACTAACAGAAGCAAATCTTTCTTATAATATGTTAACAGGTCTGCATCAACACCAAGCCTGGTTGATGGTACATAAAGCTAAAAATGAGTAAAATTTTCACTAAATCGCTTTGAATGTTCTAACAGACTGAGTTTGCTTTCTTAGCTGAGGCTTATACCACTTTCAGTTTTTCCTTAAAACATTGGCTTATCCATACATTTGTCACAGAAATAGCCTTACCTCAGCTGCATCTTGCTGGTGTCTGAAGACAATTGCATTTTTTATGGTTTGGATAAAAAACCCATTCAGTTCCTTTTGTTTCTTGTTTGGCAAAATCTGGAGCAATGGGATCATTATGAATGGGAAAGAAACTGCAAGAGATTGAAGAAAAAAAGCATTGAATCACACTGTAAAGGCATATATTATTCCCCTTCTTTCATTAATATTATAAAACTCATCAAGTGGGATGTGTTACTTTTGTGAAACTTGTTTTTTCCTGTTTCTCTCTCCTTTTTCTTCCACCCCCCACAGGCTGGTAAAGGATTTCCTTTTAGAAATTCCATGTTGGTCAGGACTCCCCTTCTAGACAGATGCCTTCCAAGCTTGATTCCACAATACTTCAGGATTTCATTTCAGCTTTTTGATGCCACAGAGCCACTACAACAAAGGGAAGAATTATTTTCCCTGCCTCCTCAAACAACTACATACAGAAGGTGGAGGATCTTGAACTAGTTTAGCAGCTTATGGCACTGATGCATGAAATTGTGCAGTAGTCATTCTCATTTACTGTTCTCCAATATTAGGGTATTAGTTTGCTATTTTATTTTGCTTCTCTAAACATGCCACAGACTATGGAAGTGGGATGTTATCAGGACGATAGTGTCCAGTCCATGTCCTTTTTAGTCAGGGACTAGAAATCTAAGTGAAGTCTTGTATCTCAATAAACCCCTCATTAACTTATGAACACCTTAAGACTAACAAATCAGTTATCAGAAAACCCTTGTGCTGCCAACAGGAACGCACAGTGTGTATATTCAGACTATACAATGTACAAGCAGAAAGGGGTCAACCAAAAAATCCAACCCCAAACCCTGTAGTCACTTTCTTTAATGAAGGTTATGGTCTTAGACATTTCTGTCCGTAGAGAAATTAGTCACAAATCAGGTTAAACATTAACCCCAGGACATTTTGGATGTGTAACTCCAGAAGGAAACAGTTTGCGTGCTGCTAGTACAGGTGCAATCTGTAATGCCAGCGGGATCAGATGGACACAGAAAACTTTGCCACTGTACCACCTGACACTACTGTGTGCAGGTCTAGATAGCAAGATGGTAAAACCTCAACAACCTTGACAATGCTGTGGCTTCCTCAGCTAAAATTCTTACTGCCCTTACACTAACAAGGCCACCGTCACAATGAAGCCTCAGCTCTCATGCCCTAGAACTATATGGCTTTATACCATGTTCTTGCATTCCTTATCTATTCACCTGAAAATAAATGCATTCTCTTAACAACAGCCTAGTCTGGAACTAATCATTTTGATCCTATATAGCAAATAACCAGGCTGCTGCTGCTATTCAGATAAGAATTTGGAGGACTTATGCGATCTGCTTATGCTCCTCCACCTCTTTCCCTTAGTGGGTTATTTGCTTACTGTGTTTGTCAGTGGGATTTCAACCTCTACCAACCAAACCGAGTGCATAAAGACTTTAGTCTCAGGCTCTGAAGGGCAGTTACTCTGTCCTAATGCAGAAGTGTATTAAAAGAGATGTCGTAAAAACTACAGGTTCCAGAAACCTTCCACTCAGATCAACTGGAACATTGACTTCCCAGACACTCAGTTTCTGGAGGAAGCTGCATTAATGTTGACAAGAGCTGTAGAGCATATGGTGGAAATTTTGAGGGTCTGTAGGTTGCATTCTGAACACCTCTGAAATAAAGTCTGCTCTACATCTTCCTACTCCTGCTTTAGCACATTTTGTAATTTGAGAATGGATTTCAGAAAATTACCATAAGGAAATTCACAAAAGTAAGCTATACTTACGGATTAGAATGAGGAGAGGCTTAAACAAAGACATTTCAAAGAATGTTCTGCAATTTTTAACAAAGGGGTCGTCAGGATTATTCTGAGAATCCACCTCAGTACCAAAAGCTACGCTACCAACAACATCCAAGGTAAAACAGTTGTAACACCTGCATTGAGTTGAAAAATGATAAATCATGAGCCACAAATCATGTATGTATTGATATTTTGCTTCTACAAACATCACATAACATTAATTTTTGACTCTGATTTTCTTTTTGCTTTTAGATTTAAGGTTTGCCAACAAGAGGTTTCCTTCATTGCTAGTTCTTAATAATGATCACCTCTGTCTACAAAGTGAATATATTTTCATATAGCTCAGTAATTCCACTAAAAATAAAAAAAAAAAGAACAAAAAAAAACATGTCATTTATTATTAACTAGAAATCAAATGTAACAAGTAAGAGATTGATAAGCTTTTTTTTAGTATGCACCATAATAAAAGAGAGAATTTCTTTCTCATTTTAAACTGCAGAAACCACATAGTTTAGACCAGTCCAGTCTAAGCTCTCAGTGATAAGAGGTGCTTAAGTAAAATTTCCTGTTAAGTATTTCCTTTGCCTTCTTGATAGCTCCTTCATGACGTGAAATTGTGGTGAAACCCAAGAGGCACTGACACCATGTGAAATCTGGAGCAGCAAGTGCTTTCCAAACTACAAATGGTCTGTGGACCATAATCTAGAAACTTCATAACTCAGTGAATCTCTCCCAACATATCTGACCATTCATCCAGTTCTCTCCCCATCTTTATTTCTACTGGGCATTAGTGACTATATTAGGTTTGAGATAAATGGACCGAGAACGTAAAATAACCCTGAAATTTGATTCTTCTGATCTATGGTAAAGTCTGTACTGACTGTTCTATGTTCACTTACAAAAGGCTAATATAAACTTCTCTATTGTTTTAACCTGATTAAGCAAGTATTAAGAGGACAGGACTCAGGATCGGTATATCCTATATATTGTGAAGCAGCATTTCTAAACTATGATTTTTGGGCACTGTCAGTCTGACAACACAAGAGTAGATCTGGAAGAAAACAATGATATTGCAAGGCTAAGTAACTTCTTTGGGTTTTCAACTACTACACAGGCACAGAGAGAAAAAAAAAAAAAAAAAAAAAAGGCAAGCAGGATATTAGAAGCTGAAATGTTAAAAGAGGGGGCGCTGCAAATAATTATTTCAGAAGCACTCAACCATCTACCTCTCCAAGGTACTGAAAAAGCTTAAAAACTAAATTTTGGGTTGTTGGAGAAACACAAAATGGCTGAAGACAACTGACATACAAGACAACTGGAGGTTGCAAATAAGGCATTTACATCCAAAAAATTTCTCCCAAGCCAATTCTGGGAAACTGCAGTGCAATGACAAACACAGTTATAGATGTCAAATCTTCTGAAAGGGTAGTATGACAAAATAACTGGAAGATCATATTGTGAGATGGTCACCATCATTCATTTATATTTTCAAAAGGCCTTTTCCAAACTGCCTCTTGAGAGATGAAACCCTCCATCTCTTGAGAGATGGACAGTAAGAGCTAAAAGACCATGGAAAGAAAAAGGACAAACAGAAAAAAGGGAAAAGCGTGGAAGGACTCAAAAGGTCAATTTTCATCAGAGCACCAGACTAAGTGTGATGCATCTCAAGGTTCCACAGTGTTTTTTCAGATGTTTAATAAAGAGAACTCTGTGCACAGACACTTGTGTGCATACATACTTGAAAAGAGACAGGCGAATTATGGCTAAATATCAATTTCTTTAGATGAAACAAAACTCTTTGCACTGCTCCAGTTTGGGGGAAATCATGAAGAATTTCAGAGGGCACTGACCAATCTAGCAAAGGAAGTGTATGTAAAATAGTGCATATTAGAAAGAATGCATTTGAACTACTCATGTGCTGCACAGGGTCCTAGAAGAATTGCATCTGCTCAGAGAAGGGGCTAGGCAGTGTTGTGAACAGTTCAGTGAAGACCCCTGATGAAAGAGCAACAAAAAAGAAAATAGGATAATAAATGCATAACAAATGAAAGAAAGCACAGTATGGAAAATATTAAAGTAGCATTTCATAAATGAATGTTGCATTCTCATCTGGAACACCAGTCCTGTTGTTTCACAAAAGGCTAGTATGCAATTACAGGGGAATTAGGAGGAATGTGGTAAAAATAAGTGCTCAAAAAAACTAATATAAAGAAAGTAAGAGGGTGATAGACTAGAGGGGTTTGATACTAGATCAATTCCTATATTTCTACATTTTTGGCAGACTGCAGTGAGAAGACTGGACAGGGAGTAATTCAGTTTTCCTTTCTGCTTCCAGCTTTTAAAACTTCATTAAACAAGAGCTAGATATACATTAGATGTTTTTCCAAAATTACTTTTCAAGTATGCAATAGCTACCCTCAGGAAGAAAAGGCATCTATCAGACACATCCTCTATTAAACTATGTTCTCCACTTAGGAAAGCGGGGGAGAAAAAAAAAAAAAATCTTCTTTCATAATCTAAGTGTATATTTAGAATAACTGCTGCTATTGAATTTATTTTTCATTTTCAAAATCTGCTACTAATTTCTGGCATGTTGAACATACCTCTGGATATCAAAAGCTTTGCCAGAATCTGCATAGACCTTCATGTTGCACAGCAGGACATCACAGGCCTGGTTTATTAGTGGTGTCATCTAGAAAGGAACACATTGTATCGTGAAAAACATTGAAATGTTAACGTAATAATAAATTATTCTAAATTAATTTTATTCAGTAGATAGGATGGAGCTTTCAGGATATGCTGCAGGTGTGTTCAGGCATTTCATGATGAAATGTTGGGACTGTCTGCTAAAATAAACCTAAACATTACAAGGATGCCCTTCTCCAGCTCTGGGTTTAAATATGAGAGGCCCTGTCACTTACCTGACCTTTGGTTCTTGCCCACCTGTGGCTATATACAGAGAGCTATCAAGCAAAGACATTCTCCTTTCTATTTAATCATTCCCTGTACATATGCTCCAGGACAGAAGGAATAATGTTTTCCATAGTCCCGAAGTCTTGTAAACATATCAGTATCAGAAGTCCACCATTTCTAGCCTGCTGTCCTTCAGTTTGAGGGATTTAACACGTACTTTAGAGAAGCACTGTGTATACCACTACAAGTTGCTGAGGGCTAATTGCTATTGCTACCTGAGGAAAGGGTTTTCTGGAGTAGTGGATGGATATTCACATGAATTTATTCATCTGATGGTTCTTTCCAGTCACTGACACATGCTGACTTGGTAGACTTACCCGCAGCCTGGCTGTAGCTAACAGTACAATAGTTGTTTCTTTATCCTTTGTGGAAACCATGACATAAGGCAACCATCAAGCCCTCATCAAAGTCTCTCTCTCTTTAACTTTTTACTATTTATTTACTATTTGGTTTGTGGGGTTTTGCCTTTTTTTTTTTTTTTTAATTTTTACTATAGGCATCAGAGACTTGCCCTGATTACACCTACTAGGGAAGACAGAGGAAGGATGTAGCAGCAATTCAGCCATGACCCTTAAGGCATTATCTGCTGTGGTTCTTTTTCCATATAGACTGCTGAAAGATCTTTACAGCCTACAGTTTAATACCACAGCCTTGTCTCAACAATTATGTCAAGCATCAGCAGACATACACACAGGAACCTGCTTCTCCTTCCTGAACAACCTCCTTCAGCATACGGATGTCAACAAACATGAGAACAGACTTGTCCTACTCCTCTGACATACTTGTTACCAAAAAAGACTTACTGCAGCCTCTCAGCACACTCTGAGAGCTATGTAGCCTGCCCAGCCAAGTCCATTTTGCTTGGCACTTCTACCTCTGTGAAACTGGCACAACACTTTCTGCACAGGCACAGTGCCATCCTAACACATGGGCAAGACTATACGCAGTCAAAAGGCCAACGCGGGAGCATCCAACATGTTTTCCAAAGGCAGAAGTCTGAGTCAAGAACGTGTCTAACTGCTCTCAAGTTCCTGCACCTCTATGGGACAGAGCAGGTTTCACTATTGCAGTTCAAAGTCTGACTGACTTGGACTTTGTCACAGTCTCACAAGACAATTCTAAAGCCAGATCAGTATTTAGTAAAAGTAGTTTGTATGTGTTTGGGAGGTGCACACCACATCATGTGGCAGTTTTCTTCCCCTTTTGGCTTTCTGAAGGAGGTCTCCTGCAGTGAGCTGCTTCTCAAATGGTTCACCAAAATTAACAGATTGAATTAAGAGATTGAATAAGGGTGAAATGCTTTGTAATCTCTAGGTCCAGCCCCTCCAATGAACCGCACCAGTCAAGGAGAACAAAATGAAAATCTGTATTTTAACAGGTATGATGTTTTCTAAACAGATGGTGATAATTTCAGATTTTGTTTTCATTGCTGTATTTCCTCTTTGATTCTTCAGCACGTCACCAGACCTGCAACCACCCAGCTGGTTGCTGCATCTTTCCAACAGCTGGCAGAGATGTCAGGGGCATGTATGCCTGGCCAGGGTGTCTCACAGCACCTCTGCACTCTCCACATTCCACCACTCCTTCAAAATACCATTGTAATTAATTTCTAGCCATAAAATATTTTTATTAGAAAATCTAACCAGGGAAATGGGGAGGGGGACACGTGGATTTAATTATTGTTAGTATGATAGGACAGAGTCATATCAACGAGACAATTATTTGCATATGAAAGCTATGGGGGATATCTACTCAGGAATCTTGGGTCTGGGTTTTTATTCCTCTGAGGGACATAAATTAGTCCAAGATTGCTAACTACAAAGACCACAGTCTGAAACATTCTCAAGTCCCTTAACACTGTAAACTCTTTGTTCATCTGTCAAGAAAAATAAAGTAGTGTTGGGGCAGGTGAACTATACCAAACTTTCAAAACCGGCACAGAAACGACATGTTGATCTGCAACACCTCGGGTATCACAAACTTCCTATACATTATCATTTGCCAGTCAGAACATAAAAGCTGCATAACCTGCCTGAGATTCAGTTCTTGGTGGGTAAACAAACCCCAGCTGCTCTGTGTTCAGACTGGCTGAGAGTAGCAGGATGAAGAAAAATCTAAACAATATGGTCCCTGTAAATATTTGATCTGCCAGTTATCTAATAGCAAGAGTAGCCCAGAGTCCAAATTTCTTTCTTTCTGCCAAAGAAGAGCATTTGGGGTTAGGCTTTTCATGGTGCCAGGGGCTTTGCTGTATAAAACATGCCAACATGCTATTTGGCAGATAACAACAATTAGTTTCTGATTCTGCGTATGCGCAGTGCATACAGGGGTTGTTTACAGTGTTCAAAGGCATCAGAGTCATGTTCCTCTAGTTAGATGTGGTCCTCAGTATTCACTACTATTATTCTCCTTATTATTAGCACCCAAACTAAAAAGTAGAAGGCTGAATCCTACTCACTGTAGATGGCCACACTAGAGACTTTCCTGTTCACACACACTAAGCAGAAGTCATGTTGGGCCTATTCTCCCACAAATGGGATGAAATATAAAGGAAGGAGAATGAAAATGGATACATCCCTAACACAAGAATTGCTTCTGTACCAGATTTCAAGCCCTTGATTAAAGTCAGGAAAAAAAACCCGAGTATCAGGAAGATGTTTGTGAGAGGATTTGTTTCCACCAACTCACAGTGGGGCCCTGATATTCATGGGCACAACTTCCCAGAGTGAGCAGCTCAACCAGAGACTGACTTGTGGCTCGAGGTTACACACATTTCACATATCAGCTTTTGCATTAGTGATTTGCTTTGCCTCAGGTGAGCTCACTTGCTTTGCTTAACAACAAAGAAATTTGCAGAGACCTTTCCAAAACATCCCTGACCAATGTGCACAAGCAGAGAAAGAGCAACTCAAGGAAACCTCAATGGTTGGACTGTCAGATCTTATGTCCTAACGGGACCTAGATCTACACGCCTGAGAGTGACACTAGAGGATTTTTCTGCACTGTTCTGCCAGGCCACCACAAGCTCTGCTTTGTGTCTCCCTTCATTTGAAAGAAAATGCCTCAACACAAACTCCACTTTGCAGGGTTTTTAGGACAACACTACATTATGCTGCACTTTCTTCTTTAATTTTTGTGTTCTGCTTTATTTTAATAGTTGGTTAATGGAGAAGAGGATTCCCAGCATACTGATAGGAGATGACAAGACTACTGCAGCACCATCAGAGTAAATAAAAATCAATAGGTTTTCTGCTGGTGTTGGCTGTAAAAGAGAGCAAAGCTATTTATCAAGTCTGACAAGAGGTCCAGAACTGCAGGATCATCACAGGCACCACAGAAAAAAGAAGAGGAACAAAATAAGAAATACTAAATAGGGAATCAGGATTGGTACAGCAAGATCACTAACATATCAGCTTGTTTCAATACATAATAGCGGAGGAGAGCATGACAGGAACACTGGGAAACACATCTTTTACTTAAGGGCCTTCAGGTATTTTACTTTACCAATTGCTCGTGAATTACATCTTGGATCAATTTTCAATGGCCAAAATTACTCCCATTTAACAGATGAAAGTCATTTCATGCACAAAGAATTCAAGTAGCTTCTGCCAGATCACCCACAGGCAGTCAATGACAGAGTTGGAAGTGAAACTTCTGCTCTCCCGCCTCCTATCTCTCATTTCTTGTTCTTTGTGCTCCAATAGCAATGGCACTCTGAGGTCCATTGAGGGGTCTCACAGGAAAGAGCTTGTTATCAGATCTGCTTCCAACCCCAGTGGCATCTCATGAGGTATGCTACCAAATCTTACTACAGGATCAAGCTTAGAAATCTATTGATTTATGCTGTGCTCACCACTGAAGTATTTTAATTTAATGTTGTCTGGAGCCAAACCTTCCTTCAGCTGGAGTGGTCTGCTTTACTAATCTTTACACATTCTTTAGAAAAATAAGGGAGAACACACATGGACAGAAATCCATAAAAGCAACAGTGAAACGGTACATGGCTTTTAAAGAGAAATTGAGGACACAGAAAGCTGGAGAAGATGCCAGGAATTCTTGGAAAATGTTAGGAAAAAACCTCCTCCTCCACACAGCAATCACTACACTGGCTACCTAACAACTCTATAACCTCCACGTTTCAGTTAATTGTTTGCCACCTTGCAAACTTAAAAATTTCTGGGATCAGCTTTTCCTCATTTGGTGACTGGCTGTTGGAGATTTTTGCCAAACTAAGGGGAGATTCCTCAAGCTTAGTGAACTTCTCAGTGACACTACACTGCTTCCCTGGAGACATAAAGACAAAGTACACCTCTGTCCCCAGCCACAGAGGCTGGATGCCTCTGTGGGGCATCGTGGGTCAAACCTCAGCAATATACATTAGCTCTGCCCTGGGATTTGTCCTCCAGCAGCTAGGCCAAAGAGTGGATGACCATCTTCTTGGTTTTGCTAGTGCTGTAGCTATGCTTTGGCCTAGCAGTAGATTATTTTGTTTCTGAAATGGAGATATCAGGAACCAACACTCAACTCTCCGGCCCTCTGTGCATCTTTCGTCTGAAGTGATTGCTGTGGGGGAGCACAAGAAGCTGTTAACTTTTACTGCTCTGTCACAGGCACTGTTCCGGCTCTCAGAGCATCCAGACAGACAAGTTTATGTTTGGAGTGGCACTAGGTGCTGCACCGTTCAAAAGGAACCACTGACCAAAGCCACTCAGGAGGTCTGCAGTCTCCCCAGCATCAATGGGGAATTTGCACAGGGGAATGAAGGCAGGGCAGACATCCAGAGTGAACAGAGAGGAAGACTTTGGTGTAGGGTTTTCTCAGAGCTCAGATCTTTGTGGCAAAGGAATCAATGTCTTAGGAAAAGAATTGAGGAATGTTTCTAGCAGTATTTATAAATATGTATAAAATAATATATCCAGGTTCTTCTGCAATAAATTAATACTCAAACTAGCTTATTTGTAACTCCTTTGAGGTAGAAAAGAAGAGTTTATTATAAACAGTATGTCTCCTACATAACTCTGAATACTCTGCAGTATGGCCAATACTAGAACACTTTCATTTGCATGCTGCTGCAGAAGTTCTGAGAGAGCACTAAATATGGGAGAGTTAAAAAGTGAGATCATAATTAATGAGCACTGATTTCCTTTGAGAAGTGTTGGTATGGCTCCTAAATTAAGCAACAGCAAAGGAAGCACACGGGCAAGGACTTAGGTTGCATTAACTGAAAATCCCAGGACTGTTCACGTATTTGGGTACAAAATGAAATGCAAGGTTGATGAGTGGGTCTATTCAAAAGAGGTTCCTCATCGCACATAGACTTACTGCAAGCGCCTCTCTGTGTAGGGATGAATGATCATCTGATGAAGACGTGATACAGAGGAACAAGTTTGGGCCTTCCAGAAGGACCTTTCCTACTCCTCACTTTCCCACTTCCTTCAGACCAGGAGGAGAAAGTGACCATTTCCATGTCATGCTGAGCCCATGCACAATCACACCCCATACACAGATTTTGGAAGGGGCAGCACCGGGAAAATTAATGTCAGGCTAATCTCAATTTTTGCATGTGAGATGGTTACCAAGCACTAGCCAGCTCTCCATTTTGTCTCCTACCACTACTCCTGCGCTGCAGCTCCACCACCAAGCAGCGCAGAGCGAGCTCTGTGATTTCCCCAACCAGCCTGGTTTAATAGGTCAAACCCTGCAAACCTCTGCATGCCCAGTCCCCAGGTATGATGCCCAGGGCCTCCACTTGCTTGCCCTCACCACTCTGCCCAGCTATGTCTGCCTGGCTGGTGCCAGCAGAGGTTGCTCTCTGTAAATTGAGGGAAACATGGCTTTATCTTTTGTTAGTCCAACAGCAAAGAGAGCAGATGACCTGCAGTAAGGCAGATTAATTTCTGCTAGGAAAATGCAAAACTCTCCTCTCTCCGCCATGCCATGAGCAACTAATCACTTGCATATTTAAGCAACCTCGCCTCACTAAAATTTCATGATGGAGCCGGTGACAGAGCAAATGTCGGGGCGCATAACCAATGGCATTGTCAGTCGTGATTAATCAGCATCTCTGCCAGGCTGGCGGCCAATTAGAATTTACCATAATAAGGAGGTGACAGCCGGTGTTGCTAAGCGACCGCTGTCTATAGAGCTGGGAGAGCCAGACACATTTAGATGTTACTGTGGATTTCGACAGCAGCATGTCAAAACAACACAAGCGTCTGCCCAGTGGAAAATTTTACAGCCCAGGACTGGGCACTGGAGTGAGGCATGGCTCCTTTTCAGAAGAAAATACATAAAGGAAGAGGTGTTTTTTTGTTGTTGTTTTTTTTTTTTTTCCCCCTTGAAAGAAGACTTTACTCAGTCAATCATTTATCTGTGTTTAATTAAGAGATATCGTGTCACTGGAATAGAACTTTGTTACTGGGTAATGGGTTCCCATGGCTAAGTAAATGCTGAGACATTTATAGGAAATTAGTAGCAGGTCAGTGCAGAGACATTTATTTTCAGTCAGAGGTATTTATCTGGCAATGACATTCTGTTCCAGTGACTTATTTTATTATATGAAAGGATTAAAGAATAAAAGGAGGAGGGGGAGGAAGGAGATGGAGAAATGAAAATAGACTGACAGCAGTTCCCGTGTTAACGTGAGAGCTGCTGACTCTGCAAACCATGAAAAGCTATGTTCCTACTGGGAGTAATAATCCCTCTCAGCTTACTCCTAACAGGGCGGAGGGTAGGAAGGTGTAAGGATCCTTTTTGAGTTTGCTACAATTTTATGGACAAACTAGCTTATATAAAAAAAGACAAGGGATCATATCTTCAGGTCAGCTACTCTGATTTTCACTAGTATATGACCTGAACCACACCATACATACGCTCTACTGCACATGCTTTCCAGGTCTAAATAAACTGGCACAAAGTAGCAGGTTTTACCTATCCTTAGTGTGGAGCTACATAAAGTACATGCTTATATAAAGAAAAGGATTGTGTCTTCTAAATTACAAAATCAGCACTGTCTACACCTTACCTCTTTCAGTTTTGTATCACTGAAAGCTGGGCTCAGAAGGCTTCGGACATACTTCCATCTGTCATCCCGAAGACAAAGGATGCTGTCAATCATCGGCTTGGAAATCAAGTTCGGCTTCTAAGTCAAAAGAAAACATGATTCAGTTTTAACATAAAAGCAAACAGAGCTAACTGAGACCCTGGAACTTGGAAAGATAGGCCATGAATGGTGTTGCACTGCTGTCCCCTGATGAGAGATGTTCGAATCAGTCCCAAACACCAACCTAAACATGGATGAGGCCAGAGAAATTTTCCCTTTTGCTGCATGCATTTCTTCTCGTGCTTGTAAAGGCCCCAGGCCACTCCAGGAACTTTGTGCTCAGACTGTTCTGGTTCTGCTGTTACTGGTGTTCTCCTGT